TAGTGATATATATGAATGATATCATTTTTAACTTTTATCATACACAGACAATGTACACAAAAATATCTGAAAAAGAAAGTGAACTACAGGCAAAAATTTGTTCACACTATCAGGGGTAAATTACAGAAATGACAAAAAAACAATAATTGTTTTACGGAAAAGAGCTGTTCAGAGATGAAAGTATGAAAAGAAAGGTCTTTATGTGGCTCCAACACTTCTCGCCACAGCTTAGGTTTCTTCTGAAACACAGCGCTGACTCAACCTCCCCCACTTCCGTGGCAACGCACTTAAAAATTCAAAATGCGAACTGCATTATTTATCCACTTTAAAACACAGCAGAGGATTGTTAAAGCACTGGTAAACGGATGTTTTACAAAAAATCCAGATTTGACACTGAGAAAAGCACACTAAAATGCACTATACAAACACTAGGGGTGGGGGCTATGGTGAAATCTCAATATTTATCATCCTTTGAAGATATTTGAAAAAAAATATCTCGATAAATAGAAAAACATTTCTGTATTTAATATACTTTAGCTCTGAAACCGATAAAAAGCATTAATAAAAAGACAAGTCTGCCCAAAAAAGCCACTACAGCCCAGATTCGAAAGTTTAAAGTAAACCGAATAATAGATTAACAAAAATCACTATGTTTTGCACACTGTTTTTTACTTAACGAATGTGTATTCACAGCAGGAAAGTCCGATAGTTCACTTGCTTTGGTCCGGACCAAATAAATTTTTTTTATTTTATTTTTGGTACGGTTCGCTTTCACACTGCTCTTTTTGCAAGTGAACCAAAATTTATGAACAAAATCACACGTGTGCTAAGGTCGTCCATTCATTGGCAAGGATTCTCAAGTAGGGAAATCAGGAAGTGCAAAAAAGGCTCAGCATGGAGATATTTCGTACTGCAATATTTGTTATTTTACTAATTTTGTGTTATTCTGTACAAACGCCAATATGAAGAAACTGTGCAGTAGACGGATAAGGTATAAAGTTTTCATTCATAGAGAGGGGCTATGTTCACACATTCAAATAATGAGATTCTTATTGTATACTGCTAACAAGTGCTGTCAATGTTAGCGCTTGCGATTAAGTTTGTCCAGTTTAACGCAGCATCATCCTTGTATTGTGTAACTATCGTTACATTATATGAACTGCAAAAGCTTTTTTTTTTTGCATCTATGCGCGATTAGACTAAAGAGAACGCTCTGTATGTGAATGTCCTGATGCACACACTCATTCATTCATTCCATTCCAATGATGCACACACGACGCGCAGAAAGACGCGCAACAGTATCGTGTGGCCAGACAGCGCGCCGGAATGGAATTCTCTTTCGCACTTGAACAACAATAACACAAACCATTATGCCAAAATCTCCGACTACGGAAGCCTGTTAACTCAAAGGCGCAGTCAGTGCTTTCTTGCAATTGGGTCGGTTCATGTTCACACCGTAAACGAACCGTACCAGAGTTCGTTTGGAACCGTACCGAGACCACCTCTTCAGCTGGGTCTCGGTTCGGTTGTTTGGTCCGCACCCGAGTTCGATTGCTGTATTCACACCTGCCCAAAAGGTCCGCACCAAGGGGGGAAACGAACTAGAGTTCGATTCAATCGAACCAAACAAGGCAGGTGTGAATACACCCTTAAACTATTATCATGTACTGTACATGCACCAAGAAACCAACACATATCAGTCTACAAACAGTCATATTTATCCAAAAATAGTAATAAGAGTAATAAGAGTATGAATCTATGAATTGAAATTGAGCTTTTAAACTAAATATAAGAAATGAGTTACTGAATGGCCCATTAAAAGCATTTTAAATCCTCAATGTTTTTTTAATAACTTAATAATTGCACATTTAAAATGGCAAATTATTAAATTGCATGTGCAATGATTTTGTATTGTTAAATACATATGCACTTATCACACACACACACACACACACACAGGCTTGGTTACACACAATGCTTGAGAACTGAAAGTGTTACTAAAGGTTCCCTGCTACTGTTGCAAACCTGAAACCAGCTTTGTGGTTCTGTGGTATAAGATGCAAGGACTAGTTCAGTGCAATGGTGAAATACCTATTTGGAGTGCAGTGTGCTAGAATAGAGAGGCATAAAGCGACAAGAAGAGATGGGTTTCTGAAAAAAATAGTGGATTGAAGATGGGGAATTTCACAGCAGGGGTCAGAAGAAAACATGGCAGCTAAATAACGTGTAGGAAGAGCTAAATTGCTACTGCTGTTGTACAACTGCTACTAATGTATCTCCAGCTGTCTTTGCATTATCAGATAGAGACATTTTAACTGATCCTTAATGCTTTATAGTGACTAGGAAAGTGTTTCTGCATTGCAAAATCATTTACGAAATGTTTTAAAAGTCAAACTTGATCACATTTCATCAAGCACCAAAGATGTTATTTCATTAGCGTCCATTATAGGAGTCACGCCAACGCGGCCTACACTGTGGGGTACTTTCATTAGGGGAGCACGGGACGGCCCCTCCAAAAACTACAAAGCTGTGGCATTCAGCCCAAGACCTTTGATTTCTACCCACTCGTAACTATACGCTTTTCTGCCTGTCATCACCAATCATGGTTAGCCTCAAGATAAAAACGGCTCTTTGGCTGGTATCCCAAAAAAAAAAAAAAAAAAAAAAAAAAATATGGACGAAAGAGGAAAATCCCAAAGTGAAATAAGGACAGACCAGAGTTCAACTCTTCATTAGATGGCAACAGAGAGTTTAGCCGTGATGGTCGGCCATAACAATGTCTTGTTTTATAAATATTGATGGGTTTGATTCAGTTTGGAGAGGTGGTGATGACAGATATGAAGAAACCTAAGCTTATAAAGGAATAGTTCACCCGATGAAATGACCGTTCTGTCATCATTGACTAACCTTCATTTCACTCCAAATTTGTATACTGTTAGTTATTCCATGGAAAACTTTTGGAGAAAAAAAAAAACATGTTTAAATCTTCATACAGATCTTTTGTCTTCATACAGATACAACGACCAGAAGTTTATATTGCCCACAAGCAGAATAAAAAAACAATATAAAAGCACTGTGAAAAAGCTCATATCACTCATGTTCATAATCCAATTCAGCTGAAGCTATACATCTCATCTTTGAGTGATAAACAGAAAGTTTGGGGTCAGTAAGATTTTTAAAAACATGTTTTACTCTCATTCATGAAGCATGCATTACAACCATAAAGTGACTGTAAAGGCATTTGTGTTACAAAACATTTCTATTTCAAATAAATGTTGTTTCTAAGTTTATATCGATCAAAGAATCCTGAAAAAACATGATCATGGATGCCACAAAAACATTAAGCAGTTTCAACATTTTTAACAATAAGAAATGTTTCATGTGCATAAATTCAACATATTATAATGATTTCTGAAAGATCATGTGACACTGAAGACTGGAGTAATGATGCTGAAACTCAGCGTTGCCATCACAGGAATAAATTACGCTTTAAAATATATTCAAGTATAAAATGGTTATTTAAATATTTTAATAATATTTCACAATATTACTATTTTTATTATTTTGGAATCAAATAAATGCAGCCTTGAGGCAGCAAAAACATTTAAAAGCCTTACTGAACCCAAACTATTTATTCATTTTTTCATTAATTATTCGATTAACTTCATCTCCAATGCAGCTCTCAAATCAAACATGCCACATATTTATAAATAAAACAACAACAATTGCGAGCTGCGGCGGAGGTAAATAATTAGGGATTTTGTTATTTTTGATTTGTCACAAAACTTTCGTATGGCTCCAGAAGACCTGGAATTTAGCTCTCAAGTCGCATGGACTAATTTGAGGGGTTTTTTTGGAGCTTGAAAGTCCAAGGTCACTACTAACTGTGTCTAAACGGAGATTTTCGCAGAAAGAAAAAAGCATACGGGTTCAGATTAACATATTGACAGAATCTTCTCCTTTTAAAGTAACCCGTTCTCAACACCAACCTTCTTCACAATTGAACCTAAATCCCTGGTGATTTATGAACTAGACCAAAAAACACCCAGTATAGTGAATAGCCATTACCAAGGCAACAAAACACAATCCAGGGAGGGAACTAAATTCACAACACATCAATCACAAAGAAACTAATTTCCCAGCAGCAAAACGCACAACACAGAAAGCATACTACTAACTGCATGCTTGTCTCAAGAGTATTACATATAAATGAATTTAATTCAGTGTAAAAAATATGCTTTCGGTTGGAAGATATGCTAGCTCCAGCACACCTAGTGACCCTACATACTGTAGGATAAACTTGAACAGAAAACAGCATGAAGCCGAGGGAACGCACACTACAGTACAGAGACTGTTGAAAAGCTGTCAGTGTGAATGTCACTGAATGTGCACTAATATACCAAGTAACATCTTTTGTTGTATGTTTTGCATCTTGCTGAGTCAATTCACATAAACTTCTTTTTTTATTGCAGGAATTTTACATAGTAAACTGCATCTGGCCAAGAGTGATCATGTGTAACGCCATTATTCATTTATTGCATCATTTACTAATTTAATGACGAACGATGAACAAAAATCATTATTGTAGATTGCATTTCTGAAAATTATAGTGGTACCATTGCTTTGCTGGGTAGGCAAAAAAACTCATTAGGAAAAGCAGTTCCTGTCCAATATAAATGGGCTACGGCAACAGCACTAATCACACTATATTACAGGCTGTGTATTCCTGTGCCCATCTCCACGCTGCAGGGGAAACCTTTGGCCTCATTAAGTAAAGCAGTAAATGTATAGTAGTATTCATACTTCAGCTGGTTTTATGCCAGGAGCTTCAGGCCTAGGCACAAAATACAGTGATGGCTTAGACGGGAAAAACAAACAAAAACAGTTTGAGCTGCAACAGCCCATGAATCACTGGGTTTGCAAAGGGGACCTAAACTAGGTTTGATTCCATCAAGTAAATTACAGTCAATTATGTTAACTGGTTATCTTGTACATAATACCTGTTATCATTGAGCTGGGTGTATCGAGGTTGAGGGTCTGGGTCGCCATCGTTAACATCATAGCTAGCATCTGGATCCTGAAAATATGAGGGAACATTCAGTGAATTTATTTTGTTTTCAGTTTTATGTCAAAGGTAATGGTTGTTTACTCAAACTCACATAGTTTTGAAGCAAATCTGGGTGGTTTTTTTCAATTCCATCATCTAATATGGACACGACGACGCCTTGTCCAGTGACGCCCTGCTTCCAGGCTTCCTTCACGTTGAGGTCACGATGATCTTCATTGTACTGAATGGAAGAGGGGACAAAAACAGATCAGAATAGATGCCACTTCTCGCTGGCCAGCTATTCAGCTGACGCCAAACATCAACCTGTGTTTGAGGATTATCTTTCACTTTTGAAGCTCAAACCAGCAGACTGCAGTCACCTCAATAGCACATGGCGTCCTGTACTAGACATGAAAGATGATGAAACTGCCTTCACGACATCCTGTCTCAGTTATTGCAATGCCCTGACACACTGTATACTGCCCTTCACATACTGTACCCTCACGTCTGGAGTTTCTGGTTTTCTTGTGGTTCTCTTGCTGTGAACTGATAGAAATTTTGCTGTAGTGTTTACACTAGTTTTATGTTGCACGATTTTATGTTATTTCCACACATAAACTAATATATCAAATAATAAGCAGTTTTTGCACTGATGCCAGAATTGTTTGTGACAGAGGAAATAAATGAAAGGAGATTAAGAGCCATCATTTAATGAACTGAATTACGAAAAATATTTTAAAAAAATAATACAAAAGAAAATACTATAAATATTTGCAATCAACAAAACAAAATTTGAATAAATAATTAATTGAAAGAAAATTATACTTTAAAACAGCAAGGATGAATTAAATTGATCAAAAAAGGCATTTATAATATTACAAAAGATTTATATTTCAGATGAATGCTTTATTTGCTTTCTTTTTAAACGTTTTCTATTCAAAGAATCCTAAAAAAAAATACATAACAGTTAATATTAAGCAGCACAATTGTTTTCAACATTGACAATAAGAAGAAATATTTCTTGAGCAGTAAATAAGCATGTAAGAATGGTTTCTGGAGGATCATGTGACACTAAAGACTGGAGTAATGATGCTTTGACATCACAGGAACAAATTACCTTTAAAACATATTCAAATATAAATCACCAGTTATTTTAAATTGTAATAATATTTTACAATATTACTGTTTTCACTTTATTTTTGATCAAATAAATGCAGCCTTGGTGAGCATAAGTCGACTGCAACAAAAACAAACTAGGGATTCATGATATATCGGCCACCATATCGGAATCTGCCGACATATGTTCATTTTTAATGTTATCGGTCCAATAGAAGATATTTGTCCGATATCTTAAAGCCGATAATTGTAATAAAAAGCTCTGTGAATTCTTTGGGTTTAGTTTCCGTGTTTCAGTGCAACCACAACATGACATATTCTGACTAGCACGTAACTTCAAGTTCTCTAAGGCATTAGTGTAATTTTGTGCAGATATAAGTTCTACTATTATGTTTATGTTGTATACATATCATTAATTATTGTCCGTGCATAGGCTATTCCATTTTATTTATCCATGGCATATACATTTTGATTCTGTATACACACGTAATTTTGTCAAATGACCTGTTTGCATTATTTAGGCATTGTTTTATTTATTTGTATGGCAATATATATATTTTTTCTTTTTGATAAGGAAAGTTGGCCATAGAAGTGTAAAATTAATTTTAAAACTTACACTGGTTCAAACTAGGCTACTGTACTGTATAGGTCTGATTCATGTTGAAGTGCTTGGGACATGGCTTTTAATGATGAGACTTTTTTTTTTGTAATCAGTCTCTAAAAAAATTATATAAAAATTTGGATTTAGATTTATCGGCCAATATATCAGTTATCGGCTTTCAAATACAGGGCCAAATTTTTCATATCGGTGCATCCCTAAAACAAACACATCCAAATGTCAAACAACCAAGCAAAAAAAACTGTGAGGGTGACGGTACAGCCAATCACTGTCTGACCAAAGAGAGCTGACTTCTCCCCACTTCACACATGTGTCACTCCAGTGCAGAAATGAGCATGGCCACCCGAGTTTATCCGAGCAGAAAATTGAATTTATTTCTCTGCATGGCTCTTTGAATCTCCTCTTGGTCACAGCGTAACTGCTCTGCTCCCCAGGGTGGTTGCAGGGAGAAATTGAAGCCAGTAAGGCGGAGTAAGGTCTGATGACCCCAAAATGATACATTCTCTTGTATGTCCTGGGATTGCAAGTCAAACGAAGAGAACTGACAGTTTATTTCTTAGGTCTACATCAGGCAAAATGATGCAATCTCGCCTCAAAGGTCCAGTTATAATGGCGGTGAGGCTGAAAAATTGCAGTTGATAACCTTCGGTCAACTTTCCCAGCATTCCATTCTGCGGAAATGTTATTGAGTGGCTTTTACCCGTTGTACTGATAAACATGATTGATTGCCACAAAGTGGGGGAAAAAAATGTGTTGAAAAAGGACTGGAGCTCAGAGTACAAATTTATTGTTTTTTTTGTGGGTTTTTTCCAAGTCTTGACATTCCTCAAAATGTGAGAAAAAGCATCCATTGTCTTCTTGGTTCATTAGCTGGAACAAAACGTCCGGGTCCGGTGAATCACCACTGAATGGAGAATGACTGAGCAATGACTTAACACAAATTAACGATTCTCATTACACTGCAGAATTCTCATAAATAACATATATGGGGTGTGGGGGGAATCTTAACAACTAGTGAAATAAATAAATACAGATATATTCAAATAAATATATTCATAATTAACAAACAAACACGCACGTCGCACACGTCATTGAGAACAGATCTTTAAGTTATAGGCCTAATTTAAGTATTCATGAGGGTTTTAAAAAGTGCACATTCATTTAATGGTCATTGTTTTAATAATAGTGAAAGTAGAAAAATAAGAGGAGATTATGAGAAAAACATTACAAATAACAGTAAAACACTGCAGTATCAGAGTTGATATATGGCACTCCAAAACAATCTTTAAAAAAAACGTAACTGAATCATAAGCTTTCCAACCTTGACAAATGGTCATATGATCACATGATCTACATTTACATGCAGCCTAATAATGTTAATAATCTCACTAATAGCTCAATATGAAAAAAGCCTTTGTAAACACCTCAATCGTGGAAAAAAAGAAGAATTGGTATAATCTAAATGAAATTTCTATCCAATTAAAAGAGGTGGTGCAGATCTAAGATAATAATAGAAAAATATACAGATTAGCCAAAACATTATGACCACATGCCTAATACGCTGTTGGCCCTTCTGCATGCTTCCCAAAACAGCACTGACCCGCCTAGGCAAGAAGTCTACAAGAAGGTGTCCTGTGGTATCTGGCACCAGGACATTAGCAGCAGATCCTTCAAGACCTGAAGGTTGTGAGATGGAGCCGCTGTCGATCAAACTTGGTTTCAAGGTCAAGTTCCAACACTTGCATGCCCATTGTAGGCACTTTTGACGGTGGACAGGGGCAAAGTCCTTTTAGGCAAGTCATGGCACTCGGCCGGCATCTTGGCAACGCCTCCGTGCAGCTATTTCGGACTAACAAGACCAGGCTCCTATCTAAATGAATGGACAGAGAGTCAGAACCGCACTTTCAATGGTCACCAGGACATAAAAACTGCTTGTATAGAAACAGCAGTAAAATATGATAAAAATCGCTGAAAAAGTTTGATGACTTTGCCCCAAAATAAGGTTTAAAAGGCCTTTTTCCCCACAGTTTATACGTTTACTACGCATGCGCAAGGGTTCTCGTCTCAACTGTCGCAAACCTCAACTGTGCGCATGCGTCAGTGGAACCAGACGATAGGCTTACATGTTTCCCGGCTTGACTGTTAAAAGCAGACGATTGGCTTTCCAGCGGGAGGGGTGGGGCATGTGCATACAACTGCCATCTTTGGCGTTACGGGTTTTCCCTATATAGTTGTATTGAGGATTGAGGAAGTGGCATGTCTCTATATAAATTGTCTCTGACAGGGGTCATCATAGGAAATCTGATTGGTCTGATCGGCTACAGAGTCCCATACGCAAGTGAGTGCGATGCACTAGGTGTTGTAACACATTCCTCCCATAACCATCATTCAAATTTTGTGTGACCTGTGCCACAGTAGAACTTCTGTTGGCTCGGACCAGACAGGATAGCCTTCGTTGTCCTCGAGCAACAATGAGCCTTGGTGGCCCAACACCCTGTTGCCAGTTTGTGGTTTGTCCCTCCTCGGACCACTGTTGGTAAATTCTCACCACTGCTGGGATCAAGAGATAGTCTGACCAAGGCACATTGCCATAACAATTTGCCATACCAAAAGTCGCTCAGACCATTATTCCTGTGCATTTCTCCTGTATCCAACAAGTTGATTATAAGAACTGATTGTTTGCTTACCATCTAATCTACCTAGACCTCAATCGGTGGCCTTGTTAGGAGATGATTAACAATATTTGCTTCACCCGTGACTGGTCATAATGTTTAAGTTGATCAGTCACTGCCATGTAATCTTTTCAGTCACAAACATATCCTTCTCTCACCCATATTTGTTACATCCTTTCATGATTTATTTGAAGAGGCGGCTAATATTTACGCCATAGGCAATTGGGATGCTGCTTCGAATTCTTATGTTTTCAAGTAAGAAGCAGGTGATCAAGCACTTCTTTAGTCAAGTGACTCAGAGCATTGCTTTCTTCACGTTTTATTGTTATTTTGGTAGTGTTGATACTAAATGCTGTTCATTTCTCATGAAAATGTGTATTTTCGTCAAATTGCACCTTAAATCAACAAAAATGTGTGAATATAAATACAGTCATAGTGGTAAATCATTTCAACATCTCACTCACAAACAAATTAAATACGGCCACTTTAAAATAGTGAGTGGCATATCAGGAGAAGATGTGTATAAAGACTGACGGAAAGTGAAGGCCAGCACTTCTGGAATGTTTCCGAAGAGCCAAATCACAACCGGCTGATTAAACTTTAAGCTCCACCGGATGACCATAATGGCAATAAGTTCACTGTTACACAACCTCCCATTTAATAGGGGCAAAAGGAACAGAATTCTATGAATCCAAACAGAACATGACAACAGCCCACCCAGACCATCCAATCTGAGCGGGAGGTATCGTGCTTCAAAATAAACAAACAGTTTGTGAACACACGTATGCACACAAACAAACCGATGAGCTATTTACTCACCAAGTACCACTGCTGTGCAAACTTCGGATCGGTCGGCTCATTGTAAATATCCCTCTTCTTTCTTCGTTTTACCACCTGCTGTTCCGCCCACATTACCTTGAAAAAACAAGCAAACAGTCATACGAGAAGTATTTGTTTCCAAGGTTTCTCATCAGTTCAGTTCTAAAGATCCAGAATCATCAATGGATAATTAAAGGGGTCATGACACGAGAAATCAAATTTGCCTTGATCTGTTGACATAAGATGATCTTTGTACCTCCTCATTATAAACAAAGCATTTATTTAATAAAGCTCCAAAATCAGCTTGTTTTTTGTATTGCAGGATCTGGGAAGTCATACAGGCAAATACATTGGCATATTATGCCTGCTTACACAGCAAGACATCGGCGAATAGTTCCAAATCATCGCACCGTAGTTGGTTATAATCTTTGATGCTGTCTACACTGGATACAGTATACAGATGCGTGTTCAGTTTCGGATGTACTCAACGCACTTGAGTCTGTCGACAACAGGACAAATGAAAGCCCTCATTTTGATGAAAGATATTAAAAAAACATTTAGAATAAGGCAAGTAACGACGAAACGTGTGCAATAAGACCAGAAACATTACAGTAAATATGGTCAATTTGGATTTCATGTCATTAAATAAGAGCTGATGAAATCTGCTGACAGACACCGTCCTGTTTTCCATCTCCTCACAACCATCCTCCACTCAACACAAAGACAGAGAGGCCTGCTGAAAGACGGGAAGCTGTTTCTCTGGGGCAGCGACTGCTGCAGCAGGGCAGAAAACGCAGACGGTGGCAGATTATGTGATTGACAGCTCAGTGTTGCTCACGCCAGAGCTCACTGCTCACTGTCTAGAATGAGTTTTTGTAAAGTGGATGAAATGGACAGACATGTGACAGCAGAGTGAAGTGAATATTAAGAAAAATGAATGACAGGACAGTTGGGACCTTCACAGGCCTAAAGACAAATCAGGACACATCAACTTGACCCACCACTCAACGTCCCTCAAGGTCAAGTTGTTATGATGAAATTGTATGTGCAATCTGAGCATGATATTCTGGTAATCTACAGAATTGCATTATATTTGCATTCTCCAGATAAATTAGTTAATAATTAACCAATCATTTGTGCAGTGACGGCTGTTCAAAGTTTAGGTCATGTCAGAGGTTCTTTGTTTGACTTGACTGACAAAATCAAACATTTCCACAAACATTTTAGTGTTGTTTAAGGCAAGTATAAGCCACTGTTAATGTGGTTTATACATGGAGTTAGGGATTTATTCATGTTCCAAGGTTAAAAATTTGCCGAGTGACCCATAATCGTACGCAATTGATCTTTGAAAAGTCGAAACAAAATTCAATTTCAAATTCAAAATTCCAAAAAGTCAATAAGATAATAAAAAAGTGGATTAAAATTAAGACAAAATTCCAATGTCACTTCAAAGTTTCAGATAAAAACTTATTTTTATGATCAAGTCCCTTAAGTTTTGGAGTAGATATATTTTTAGTCGCTTTGTGGCAAGATCTTTTTAAACATGTAAGATAAAGTTCAAAACCCACTGATGTTATCACAGGAACGCAGATCCAAGAAAATGCATGAAAAAAAGTGCTGGATAGGAACGCGGATTAATATCTGAGGCTGTCTGCTTGGCAACTTATTGAAGAGAGACATGTTGTCAAAACATTGTATCACTCTCCCCCCTGCTGATTAATTAGCAAGAGTAATACGGTAATTAAAAAAGTAGCACACATAAGCGTTTCTAACTTTTAAAGATCAACCTCATCTGAAAGTAAGCTCAATTAGAGCCAGTACTCAGTTGGCAATGCAATGCATAATGAATAACCCCATGACTGATGTTGCTACATCTGTGACAGCTCTGATGTTTTGACTTGAGCCAAATGGGTTTCAAAGAGAATATGAATGCTGCCAAAAGACTCAGAAATAGGAAATGCATTTCTGAAGCTATGAAGATGGACTGAGTGATGGACAGAAAAGAGAGAGAGCTGAAGATGAAACATAAAGGGAGACCGGATGGAAGTTATCTGAAATCTCAACCTCTACAAAAATGCAGTTGCTGAAATCATATTTTCACAAAACATTTAGCCATAAAGACTAATGCATGCTTTTTCCTAATATGTAATTTATTAGACATACAAGGCTTTACTTAAAACTTGCCCAAATTAAAAAGGTCAAGCAAAATATGATGCATGAAGACTGCATAGTATAAACAAAGTAATTAGCACTCCAAATCTGACAACAGTCACTATTGTTTGAGATTGAACATGTAGAGCGAAAGGCAGTGAAAGAATTCAACAACAGGAAGTGGAGCAGGGCAGTCAGGGGAAATGCCACTGGGACCCGCTGAGTGCAGGCAACGGGACTGACATGCTTTACACGAGCAACATCTTCACATGACTGCAGGTTTCACTTCACAAGGAGCGATTTCTGTCACAATAATAGTCATTTGTGGGCTTGTCAAAAGTACCGGTACAAAGTCGGTACTGAAATTTTAAAAGCTGGTAGTACCGAGTACAGGTTATATTCGGTACCCGCTGATAGGCGGATGCTTTCAAACACTCCTGTGTGTATCTGTGTCAAAGGTTTCGGTTTACAACATGTTTTTGAAGTATTGATCACTGGAGCCACTCACAGACATATCTGTTGAGCACGTGAACGTAATGGCCAATCCGCTCAAAACACTGGAGTTTTCGTTCACCGCACACTTTAGAGTTCTGCATGCTCGCAAATCCTTTCATTATAACCAACAAAGTGTAAACAGAATGCAAATAAAGGACTCGTTTTGCAGTGTAGACAGCTGTTTTGATTATAGTGGGAGCTTGAGATCTCAGTAAGCAGGCACTGAACATAGCCTAACACCGTGTCTACACCGAAGCCAACAGTTATCGCACCGCAACAGCTTGAGGCTGTCTACACTGAATGCGACAAAGCGACCGTTGCAAATTCATTTGTTCTTCGTGTCAGAATAAGTACGTCAGAAATAGAACAGGGCATCAGGTCACTGTGTCATCCAGTGTAGACAGTATTGCTCATTATAATGGGTTCTATTGACAGCTTTAGTGACGGGGCGCTCTTTGCTCGCTTTCTGTTTATAACCCATATACAATTTGAATACAAGTTTTGTTTTACATGCTGCTCACTGCAAAGTTTCTGGGTTAACAACTGTATTTAAAGCAGCACTAAGTAGGAATTCCGTTTTTGTCAAACAGCGACCCCTAGAGTCGCTGTGGAGTACTTGTACTGTCGTGAATAGCACTCACGCAGAGATGGCTCACACTCACGGCCGGATCCCCTCCCCCTGTACACCGGTACCTGTTCAGTAGGATGGACGCTGTAACGAATGGAAATAAGGTATGGCCCCTTTAAGAGCTGCGCGCGCCCAACACCTATGTATACGGCGCCGGGTTATTTCTGTTTGATGCTCATTTTATCAGAATTTTATCAGATCTGTTTTTTGCCGTAAAGCAATTCGTTACCTCGCGAGACCTGATATCACACGATCAAACTGACCTGCTACTTGTTCTATGTAATGTGGATGTGTTTCTTTGCCCTTCATTTTATTACTAATTTTCATTTGATCTTTTGATAAACAATGTTATAAACATGTGAAGGCTATTTAAATGTATAATATAATATATAAAGTTTTCACTTTTTTTTAATACATCTTTGAATCAATATATAAAATGTGTGAATATGTATATATTATAATATAATTATACAAATGAACATTTTGTGATTTGGTTTATTATCCTTTTTAATATAGTTGTTTTAAGTTCTGCTTTAAAATAGTAAGAAATCAGTTGTTTTTAGGTTTAGAATGTATTTTAACCCTTTTTTGCTTATAATGTACAGCACAGCCTACATAGATACATTCATTATATTTAACTTATCATTAACTTTATATTAGCCTACACATTTTTTGGAGGACAGTATTGGGGAGGATGTGGAATAATATTGTTTAAAATGATAAGTTTAAATAAATGTTTAATTAAAACATTTTATGTATAATATTTTTTGGATCTTATTCTTAGGTTTTTCATCCGATTAATCTAAGAAAAAAAAATCAACAGATTAATCGATTATCAAAATAATCCCTAGCACCAACTACTAGAATGTTGTAGCATAACAACCCTAGTCATTTGCATAATCAAAATGGCCAGAAGTCAACCTTCTGCTGCTATCTGAACGACAGTGACAATTGATGAAAAAATGATGCAGCAACTACTGCAACAAAATCTCACTAGGGCTGTCAATAGGGCTGAGAAATTTAATTTGTCTTGTCATATTTATTCACTTTAGTCAATTTTGCTCTGACTAAAATTAAATATATAAATAAAAGTACAAAATTAAACCAAATATTCACACATTTTATATATTAATTTAAAGATAATACAATAATACAATATTGTATTATAATAATAAGTACTACTGTAATACAATAATATTTTATGCTTTGGTTTTGAACGTACTTTGCTACTGTACAAAAAGAACACATTTACAAAGTGACTTACCATTAGCGCAGTTCACTTTCATGATGAATTCCCATCATTTTGTGCAGAAGCAAATTGCTAAATTATCTTTATGTTGTGTATTTGTCTGATTGATTTTTAAGGGTACAAGAAGCATTTGGGTGAATGAATTAAAATGTTAGTAAAGCACTTCATTTGACTGGTGTTCAGCAAGCAGTGCAATCCCCGATATGACTGGATTATTTCAAACACTAGAACTGTTCTTTCTAGATTTTTCTTCTTATTGTTAGAGCACTGTTAATATAATTTTTTAATTACAGCCTACAGTGTAGAGGCTCAGGCGTAAGTATAAATCAGCCTTAAAGGTGCTATATGTAACTTTTCTACTAAAATGAATCCTTGTTTTATTGCCTGTGTGTGAAGGTGTTGTAATCACACATTACAATGATCCACTTGTCGAGTTTTGCTATTACCTCTGAAGGCCAGTATTCCTATTTCTATGTGAAGGCTCCGGGTCGGATTCACCGCGAAATCCATCGGATGTGACGTGCATGCGCGCTCCCGAGCCTCATACAGTCTATTGTAGACGGTCAGGGAGTTACGTCCGGTTAAAGGCGCACGTTTTCCGGCTTACATCTCGGTCAATCTTTGATCAATATCCCCAAGACTCTAATCATTCGTAGTGCTGGACGGGGCCTTTGGAACTAGCCCACCCCCGAGGTCCAACTCGCCCGGGTCCCCGAGTTATAGCCGTTCGAAATCGGGGGTCCCAGCGAACGGCGATCCGGTATGGGGCGTCCCCGAGGCCCGCCACTCTAGCGTTCGTGCAAGGGTCCCCCTGGGACCTCCTACCCCGGATTTGAGCTCTCTGGGTCTTTGCGTTCCAGAGATACGAGCGATTTTCTTCTGAGATCGTGACGTCACTGGCGTCCGCAATTTTGCAGCGCGCCCGATGGTTTTCTGCTAATATCTCCACGAAAACACCACCAAAAATTATGGAACTTATATGGTTCTTTTCAGCTCGACTAGATGGTCCCAACGAGCTCGATGCTCGCCGAATCCGTCCAGTATTCGCCGAGATATTTGTGTAATAGACGGTATTGTCTATGAGTTCGAGCACGAGCGCTCTTGTAAAAATTGGTTGCAATCTGAAACATCACCGCTAGAGGCCGCTAAAAGTTACATAGAGCACCTTTAACAGTCACAGCAACAAAAAAGGTAGTTTTTAAATTTAGCAGATGCATTCAAAGTGACTGACAAAGGAGGAATACAAAAAGCGATTGATCATAAGGTGGCAGTAGCATAAGAAAAGCTATAATAGAAATTTACCAGATTGTTCAAAAGTGTACTTCCCAAAAGACTTATGTCTTTGACAATGCATCCAATGCATGAAATTTGAGAGGACAACCAGCATCATCGTAGCTCAAGGTCTTATCATTGAGTGTTCATGAACAAAAGAAACTTTTTGGAAATTTATTTGACATTAGACATGCTTCGTGCGATGACTCTCCGTCATTGTGTTGGGACCCAGTCGGGTTTATTATTCACACACCTCATCACTTCTGCACACTGGACAATGGAGTGCTTTTCCCATCTCGAGGGAAGTTGCTTTGCTCCTGGAGGCCATTCTCGCTGATGGAGCATGGCGCTGCAGCCATGTTACAAGATGGACTTTTTAACCCCCTCTAAAAGTTGAGTAATGGGCCATACGGGTCCAGTCAGTGATTTCCATTAAGGGGTTTCTAGCCCTTAGCATTCCTCTGGCATTAAAATTGCAGGGTTTGTGTTTCACATCTCCTCAAAACTCGCCATCTGGATCAGAGAGGCCGGTGAACGACAAATTCTAAGGCTGTACTGAACGAACGCAGATGTCAGGTCGACGCATCGTGAGCAACGCAACTTTAAACCCTTGTATTTCACACCTGTGACAAGAGAAACCGAAAGTGTTTTATTTGGTGTTCTTAAAAGCAGTATACAAAGGGGAGGAAACTGAGGAGTTGTGATATACTATAAGCTTTACAAAAACTTTACAAAAAAAGTGTGTGAGGATGAACGGTAAGATTCACAACAACATTCAGAAGTAGACGATTCAAACAGAAGAACATAAAAAAGCAAGGTTTCTGGAAACAGTTGGGAAAAGAAAAAAAAGGATCTCTGGACAAATAAAAAATGTCTCCCCTTAATCCTTTATAAAACAAGGAGGATAAAGAAAAGAAAAGAAAAAAGAAAAGAGTGTGCTGCAGAGTGTCAAATTTTAACAAAGATGAAAGACTTGAAAATTGAGTGTGCAGGTCCTGGTGCTTCCTTACATGCCCAACGGTGATTGGGTCTAGTTGAAGTCCCTGAGGAAATGTAAGGTCTTAAAAACATTAAGGGCAATAGGGAATGTCCAAAGTAATGCAATGCCCTATTAGCTGAAGCTAGGCTGAAGTTAGAAAAACGGGTACACTGCAAAATATAATCATATAGTTCAATGTCAGAAATCAGCACAAAGCAAATAACTTGCTTGCTTTAAACTTTACTTGCTTCAAGGCACTTTCCATGAATACTGTACAAATTAGGGGCAGAAATTCTTACAGGATTTCTTACAAGAAAGATACAAGAATCTTACAAGAAGGATGTGTTTAACCTTCATAAAATGTTGATTATCAACCTCATAAGGTCAAACTAAATATTATATGAATTGTTTCAGTTTATATTAATTTTAGGCCTGTGTGAGTGTGATACATCATACATCATGATGTGTGCATTCACGATAGTAACATCGCAGCATGTGCGATGTCAGGTATAAGGATCGTAGTTCATACGTGATCCTTACGGACCAGGCACAGTTCAAACCGCATGAATTTCTCTGATTAATTGCAAAGTTTAATCATCATAGAGTGAAACTGTATCATTCGCACGATTTTAGGATTTTAGGACAAAAAGCATGATGAAATGCTCTATTTCATCAAATTTGATCATGACTAAAATGCCATTTATTTTCTAACAATTATCATTACAAATCAAAATTAAAAAGAAAGGGGGGATTGGCTAGATTAGGAACCAAATGTTGGTCTCAAAAAACATTTATTTGAGCAAAGTCATGTTAAAATAAAATGGTTGCATTATTGAGCATGATGAATAGTGTGTAAAAAAAAAAGAATAAACTTTAATGAGAATGGGTCCAAATTGTGGCACTTTCTGGGATTTACAATTAAAAAAAGAATGTTGTAATACATAATATTTGTGTTATGTGTGTAAAATTGTGTATTTTTTACAACGTAATAATCATTAATTTCTTTACGCTCTGTCAGGCTTATTCAGATATCAATGGCTTCCGTGTTTTGGCGTCTTCTATCTCATTTAGACACGGCTTGGTCAATAAAACCTTTGAGTTTCCTTTGGGGGGGGGGGGGGGGGGGGGGGGGGGGGGGGGCGGGAGAGATGATGGCTGGAAGGGGCTGTTCTGAGGCGGATCCGGAATCTACATTTCACACATACCTGGGGTTCTGTTTGCAGACGAATGTGTGTTCCTCTGTCCTCTGATAAAGACCTCTTCACCACCTTGCGGTGCCTGAAGTGATAATAATCTCCAAATACCTGAGGGGAAAAAAACACAAGGCTACATTTAGCTCACCACATACAGATTTTTCCAGGAATTCAAACAGCCATTTTATTTGTAGACTCTAAACGTTTTAAAATGTACATGTATAACTAAAACATTGCAAAAATCTAGTTTAGATATTTTGAAGAATGTTGGGAACCAACGATTTGGGTGAACTATACATTTAAGTTTAAATCAAAGGCTTAAATAATGTGTCTTAATGTCCGCTTGTTCACAATTAGCTTCAGTCTATTCTGTAACACAAAATTGAAATGAAAGTGAATGCCACTCCAGATCATCGATACAAAGCCCAGCTTTGGACCCCTGCATGACCTTAATGATCCAGATGGAAGAAATATTAAGAAGAGAGAAACGCATTGTACACAGCTGTACATGTCCAACAGCCTCAAATACAAGTAACACTGAACGAGTTAATCTCCTGTCAGCTGACTGCACAATCACACATGACAAGATCATCCAGAGGGCCAGAGTCATCAAACCGGCACTGGTGCAGATCGATTTCTCTCTCCGTCTGATGAAAGCTAAAAGTCTGGAGTGAGCCAGGGTTCATGCTGTCATGTTATAGATTCAGACACGTGCTCAATTGCAAGACCACAAACATTGACGATTGTACAGACAACCTCCAGTTACTAAACACATTGATTGATTAAAGCAGGAAACCAGTAGTGAATTAAATACAGACCAACCCAAATCTGAACTACATTAAGCAATAAATTCGAAGGTACAGCAAAACAATTTTTGCAAAGCACAGTGCAAAAAGTCATTCTTTATTCGAAGGGCGGTAACATGTAATAGGAACCCCTGTCAGGAGGATCGAGGACAACAGCTCTACATTTATTCTTCCATGACGTCCTCAGTATAGAGACCGGATTACAGTATGTTGATGCAAACATCTCCACCCAAACAAAGCCAGTGAGTCAATAAGCCCTTGACAAAGCAAATTTGACAACCGGTGACCCAGTAAAAACCATTCTAAACACTGAAAGCATCAAACAAGGGTAAAAATAAAACCATTAAAAGAGGAAAAAAGCCAAAGAGATGGAAGACTAAATGAGAGAAGAAACACATTTATTGCATTTATTGAATCCTAGCTAGAGCCTGGCACGTTTTGTGGTTAACGAGAACAATAATGACAGAAAATAACACATCGATCGCAAGAAAAGATAACCAAAGAGGGATGGGTAATAAGAACATGCAGTGCTCTGAGAGCTTTGTTAGTCACAAAGGGAAATAGATTGAGGATGGGTATGGGTGTATTGTAAGATAAGAGTCCTAAAAAGATGAGCATCAATCTCAGACGGGCCTGAATCCAGCGGCTCCAGGGCACAGGGGAGCGCAGATGGAGATATGCTGGTCTTGTCATATCAGACCACCATCAGACAACCATCTCAACTGCCTGGAAACATGCAAGAGGAAAGGCATGTGGAGGAGAAAGAAGAAGAAAAAAAAACGTATATCTACACTAAAACTTACAACCCACATCTGAAAATGATATCAGTGTTGGTTAAACCGTTGGCACGCCTTTGCAAAATGTGTTCCTTATGTCTGGAAGCAACCTACACATTTCAACTCTACTCTTCAGACCAGACTACACTAGAATAAATATTTGTAATTATTAACTTACTTTAATTACCAAAAAAATTATTGCTAGTTGTGTCCCACTATTTACATGCAACACGGTTAATGGCATGATTTGCATTCTTAAGAGACGTAACACAGATGGGCTACAAATTGCTGTCCAATTATACTTTTAAAGCATTAGAGGCACTTTTTTTAGTGAACACTGTTAGAAAATGTTTTTATTTAATGCAATTATTCCAACATGAAAAGCAGCTAGTTTTAAACACATCAAGCATTTGTTACCAAACTTGTTACTGTAAAAATGATAAAAGGTAGATTTATTTTTGTAATTCAATTTATGTGAAATGTATAATTTTTTTAATCAATAACTAAAAACCAACTAAAAAGCTTAATTTAAGCTAAATCTGCAAACCAGTTTACTTATAGCTTTTAATTTATTATAATCTTTAATCTTAGGTTTATTTATTTTTTTAAATAAAAATAAAAAAGTAAGACAATCTGATATGTTAAGCTTTGACTTAGGATTTAATTAATGATTCATAATGAAATACGAAAATAAATTAAATATGAAATGAAAAGAAAGTCTTTATTCAGACATGTCCCAGGACTGCATATGAGAAAAAGGCTACACAAACTTGAGATCTTACAACTATGACTAAGGAGTATGACCTGTAATTAAAAAGAACATTGTAAATCTTGTATTTAAGAGCTTTACATGAGTATTAGCCAAGACGCTGAGGTAATGCTAGCATGCAATAACCACATAATAATGGCATGTAAAGAGTATTATTACACAGCTCTGTGGAATACTTGATTCGGACGTTTTTTCCTCGTGGAAGTTTTGCGTTGGGTGAGCTAATAAATATAAAAAAATCCATATTCTGTGTACAGTTATTTCCTTATGTCATTTGGTATCGCGGACTCGCTCAATCTTGTTTCATACAAGCACAGCTGCTGCCATTTTGTGACTATTGTTTTGTATATTGTTGGATTATAAGATAAACAGGTACGATTTTAACAGTTTCACCTCAGATTAGCATTTCTTATCCCCATAATTATTTATGTGGCGAAATGCCGTGTAATATGACCACATAGTACCGTATCCTTTAAATGTCCGTCTAGTTTGAACTTGGTGGTTGCTCGCAACTGATCTCTCCCCAGGAGCTTTGCGTTTAAAGAACTAAATATTTAGACTCAGATCAATATTTCATGTCTAATCATTTACTTATGTGGCAAGTATCCGTGTAATAAGCAGGATAATGTAAATCCAGCCGGTTGTTATTGCAGAATAAACCCCTTCAGGCTGATGCAATACCCATCTGCGTTGTGGTAGTCCTGATCACCCTGTCGGGGTTTATTCTGCAATAACAACCAGCTGGATGTACATTATCTCCCTTACTTCCTTGACATTAGAATCTGACCTCAGTGACCTCAGTTTAGAGGTTAGACCATATAACACATCACTGACCAGGAGTTGTCCACAGTTTCCCACACAAATTAGGGCTATTATCTAAAATTAGCCTCCGCCTCGCATCGGCTTGAAACTACCATTAACATTCCTTGCCGTCTTCTCTTTAATGAAGGCAAGCACACGTACAGCTGTTGGAACTTTAACTAGTAGGTACTAGGTAGAATAAAACAATGGAAACAGCAAGTTGTAGATAAGCCAAAGCTGGTGGAGGAAACACAGATGTTTTCTGTGGGAAAATGAGCTGGTGGGCAGGCTAAATTTGTGATAATTTCAAGAGCAATTACAAATCAAGGGAACAATCCATCTGACTCATTGAGCAAGTGTAGCAATTAGTCTCTGCAATTGAAATCAGTCTTTATGGATGTGCATCACAACCATGCATCAGTCCAACTAATCCATAAAGCATCAATATATTGGCCCGGGATGCATTTCCCAAAGCCAACTATGGTCGCAAGTTATCTGGATCTACTGACAGCTTTGACAAAGGATAAGAAAATACACAAAAACACTAATCTAAAAATATCATACTAAATGTAAATGGACTACACAGCAACTGTTTGACATTATAAAAACAAACATCAAAGACACGGCAGAAATTATACACAGTAAGTCTAACAAACTCTTTAGAAAAGTACAAATGAAGCACCACTCATGAAAAAAATTATATGACTTAATGTTTAATGTAAAACTGTTAGACCAAACACTGACTAAAGCATGAAATGGTTAAAACATTTCCTGACAAGAGTTGTTCCAGCATTTCTATGAGAATCAACACTGAAAGGGAGCGCTGTGAAAACAGAGTTTAATAGTGTAATTTATCTTGTAATGAGCATGACCTTAAGATACGCAAACAACCACTTACAAACTAAATGAGGACAAGGGCAAGTCTGAGAGCGTATATACAGAGAGAGAACACTGAAAGAAGACATTTCAGAGAAACTATGACACCAGTGACATAAAAAAAAAAAAAGGTTATACCCCATTTACAGCTTTTGGTTAGAAAAAGTGCTTGTCCATGTTTATATAAAGTCTTAAGACACAACCACACCCCACGTCAGCGGTGCTCACTGGAGCTGAAGCAGCAGCCCAAACCCACGCTGGAAAACAACAGATAACTAGCAGTTTCTCTTAATACCAGAAGGACAAATCTGCTGCGAAAAATCGTGGAAAGCAGTAATGGTCAACAAAACCGTTTAAACAAGGTTATTCAATACAATTTTATGTAAGTGCATTTACAATATCTAAATATATTATATATCTTTTAATGTTTTATATCTAAGACAAGTATATAAAAACAAATAATATAAATACATATTTTATAATATACTGTTCGAAAGTTTGAGGTCAGAGATATTTTAATGTTTTTAAAGAAGTCTCTTATGCTCACCAAGTGCTAAATTTATCATTATAAAATGTCCTTACTGTCACTTTTGATCAGTTTAATGAGTCCCTACGGAGAAAAATAATTCCTTAAAAAAATTATCTTACTGAACCCAAACCTTTTTAACTTTTGGTAGTGCATTTTATAATTTATCCTCAAATAAACTACATAATTGTAGTCTCTTCTTATTGACTCATCTGTCACTTTCTCTTTCTATTCTATTCTATTCTATTCTATTCTATTCTATTCTATTCTACCATTTCTCCTATTCCTTTATACCAGACAGAAGGTCTTCATTTCTTATACTTCACTCATAATGCTCTCTTTTCCTCTTTCTCTAACTTATTTTGAGTCTCATTCCAGCTATTCTCCACCAGGGATTGATGAATCACCACAGCCATCAATCAACAGTGCAGCCCCTTCTCTGAGTCCACCAACCTTCCAAACAACATTTAGAGAAAATTAGACCGCACAAATAGTCCCTGCAGATCCCAGTCCAGGTGTAAGTGAACATGGAACATTAAGGGTGTGCCTCACACTCC